GTTTCTATAAGAACAAGTGCAATCTATGTCACAATCAAGGATTCATTGATGAGTTTTTCATTGCAAAACGTAATTTCTTTTGCGGGAAGTGTAAAATCATACGTTGAATTTCCAATAGCGAAAACTATTTTTTTCACAAGTCCAACAGTCCACTTCAACAATAGAAATTGTTAATGATACATGAAAAATAATCTTAATCTTTTTTTTTTAATTAAAATTGATCGTAAATTATCTTATATATGTATATAATTGATATGAGAATGAATGAGATACTCTCTAAATATTTTTATTTTCATACGTCGAGCTCATATACCCCTAACATGATATAATGGGCGCGATAAAACGGGCCATTCGCGATTTTACCATCCGATGCCCATCGATGGCACGTATTCGGACAGCTGGTTGATGCGTAGCAGCACGCTTTGATAAACGTCGCATCAAAGCGTTTTACGTCAAGAGTAAATCGACATTTTCATCGAGAGAGCGCGGACATCAGCTTTTACCATAAAAATTTGCAAATATATATATACATATATAGACGCGCGCATATATATATATACATATATACACACGTACAAAACACTGATACATTCATAACGCGCCACGTAAAATTGCGTGAGGGAGAAATTTGCGTTCCGTAACACTCTTGCCTCGTTATTGTCTCACGAGAGCTTTCCGCTCCGGATAAAACGGCGTTTACTGATAACGAGGCGCGTGATTGTGAGATATTGTCGGGCTAACGCTTTTTGAAGCGCGCACATATTTCACGTACGCCGACGTAATTACGATCGACTTTAACTGATGTATCTAACGTCGTTTCTCCGCACTCCGGATAGCGTAAATCTGATAGCGTACGTTTCCGACGTATTGCTCGACGTATTAGTTTCCGCGCGGAAATATATTGATGCACTGCGCGAGCACGAAGGGGATATTGATAGCCGCAGGAAAAAGTCGACATTACCTACCTATTGTTATTAAGTTAACGTTTCTCCAAGTCTTTTGCGGACCTTATCGATCTCAGGGTTAGATGTATTACATTATTATATTACATATACATTCTCTGTTCAATTTTCGAATTTTAAAGGATTAAAATAAGATAATCTCTCATTTTATTAAATTTAAAATTTTATCTTCCTAAACCTTTTATAATATGATTTTATATCGTAAATATTGCAGATTATATTTAAGATATATAGAAACATTTAAATTAAATATTGAACAAAATGTATATTTAACTTAAATATTAATATATGTTCAATTAACAAAATACTAGTAATTTAGTTGAACGGTTTAGTCAAGTTAACAATTTTTTCTTTAGTGTACAATTTTGAACAATTGATTTACTTGTGTCTTGGCGAAATATACAAATTTTATTTGAAATATACGAATAAATGCGTCATTTTTGGTATCAAATTTATTAATTCAGAATCGGTATAATCGGATAAATATAGAGAATCGGATTATATATCAAATTTAAATTGTAAAGATATAAAAAAAAAAAAATATTAATTTTAATCTCATTGATCTTTATGTCATCGTAGATTTGACTTAAAAATATAAATGTTTTACGCCACTTCCCGCCCGAAAGAAATGGCAAATTCAACAAGCGGATCTGTGAGAAAGTCTTAATGGGGAAAAGCTTCGTTTAATTTTTCCAATACCTGGTTTATTAGTTACGCAAGGAAGCAGAAACCAGGCCGGGTTGATCGCGCGAGAAAGAAGAGGGAGAAAGAGAGCGAAAGAAAGCGAGATTATAATCTTGGTAGTGCCTCTACTCACCTTTGTAATTTCATAAAAGGAGGGAGAAATCGGTGGCGCCACTCCCTCGTTGCTCGAAGAGGAGGGTTGTTGAGATTTCTATCTTTGTTTTCGTCTCCATTTACGTCGATCCTCGCGCAGTCGCCAGATCGCAGTCGCATGACCTAAAAATAAGTTGAAAGCGTTGTAAACCATGCAGTAGGTTTTCAGTCTGTAACGTACGACAACCGGGTTGTGGGGTTAATGGAGTGCTTTGATCCTTTGACCCTGACGCACTCAGCGCGATGCGTTATTAAGAGTGCAGTCGCAATTCGAAGATATTTCGCGTTTATACAAAATACGTTCCAAACTTTAGCAGTATCGCGTGATCTTTCAATAAGAATTAATAGAGATAATGATTGACTTGTGATTACAAAATCTGCAATATTTACGATATAAAATCAGATTATAAAAGATTTAGGAAGATAAAATTTTAAATTTACTAAAATGAGATTATCTTATTTTAATCCTTTAATATACTGGTTCATTTTTAATATTGGATGTGTGCAATCCTTATTATTATACGTAGATATTTAAGAATACTTTAAACAGAAATAAACGAGTACAAAATATTTTATGTTTACTTAAAAATAGTAAAGATTTATAAACTGTTAATAGCACGTTAGAAATAAATTGTTGAAAATCGTAAATTATAAAATTACCGAATTTGTTTCTCTGAAACTTAATACACTGAAGTAAATGCTATTTTGTTAATTGAATATATAGAAACATTTAAATTTAATATTGAACAAAATGTATATTTAACTTAAATATTAATATATGTTCAATTAACAAAATACTAGTAATTTAGTTGAACGGTTTAGTCAAGTTAACAATTTTTTCTTCAGTGTACAATTTTGAACAATTGATTTACTTGTGTCTTGGCGAAATAGACGAATTTTATTTGAAATATACGAATGGCTTACGAATGTCTGAGGAAACTCTCAAGCTAATACGGCAACACTTGCAAGTGGTATTCTGCAGAGGTATTCTAGTGAGATACATAACTAACTTCGAAATTACACGACTAGTCGGATCCTTGATTTCCACGGCCTGAGTTCATCTGGAGCTACGCGTATCTAGTTTAGCTTTATCGAGTTGTAACACTTTTGGCAAAATAGCCAGCAGTTTTATACATTTTTATTTATTTCTCATCTTTATGCATTCATTGTTAGTTAACTCTCTTAAATTCAATATACATAAAGATATTTATTTTTTAAATGTAAACCGCTTGTGATTTTATGCATTAATCTTGGCAAAAAGTTAAAGCAAAATGCGACTTAATTAAATTTATTTTTAATTTTAATACATTTTTTAATTTTTTTATTAATTCTTTTATTAATATTGTGATGGTTATTATTGTTATATAAAATGGTTTAGAAATGTTATCTATTTGAGAAAATTAATGGAAGAAAAATAACTAATGCAATCATATATTTTAATAAAATATAATACAATGTTTTACGATTTATTTTAGCATAAAAATATAATTGTCAAATAAAAAAAGAATAAAAATATATATAAATTGTATTGTATAACAAAGCATATCATTTTCAATAAAATGTAAATAATACTTTGTCTTCAAATATAAAATCAATTTTTAATATTAATTAATTTAAAAAAATTATAATTTTAATTATTTTTATTACTTTCTTACTTCATATAATAATATAAGTCTAATCTTTTTCAAAGATTTTATTTTACAATATTTTTTTTATAATAAGATGTATAAAGAATGTATAGAGACGATTTTATATATTTCAGAAAAAATTTATGTACAATATATTGATTATTTAAATAAAATTTAAATTTAAAAAATCTAATAAATTGTGTGATCTATTCGAACAATTCAAAGTTAAATGTTTGCCTTCCAAATTCAGTTTTCATAAATTTAATGATCGATCTATGCTATCAAATCGCTTTAATTCATTTTCTATTACAATATAGTTAAACTCTTTGTAGGTATACGTAGCCTGAAGTTAGTTAAAAAATGGATCTATTTGTGAGAAAATATTTTCAGGTTTGAATAATTTTAGATTCAATCTTGAAATTCAAACAGCTCAAAGTTTTTGATCACTTAAACTTAAAACTTTCGAGCATTTATTTTGAAAGATAAAGTATGAAAATATTTTGAATTCTGAATTCTAAAAGTAGCTTATCGTCAGATGAAACAACAGATTTCTATTATAACAATAGCAATAATGTAGGAAGCAAGAAAACAACGCAAGATAAAAGATATTATAATTATCAAAAATTATAGTAACCGTGAATAAATTGTCGTTAGACAGCTAATATAGTTCTCTTATCTTATTTACGATAACGAATAAATTTAATAAATCACTACATTTATTATGGAGTAACTTATTATAAATATTTATGGATTAACATTATTTATGAAAATTATTTATGGAAAATCAGGCAAAAGTATTTACATTTAATTTCTAAATTCTTTGCAATAATATAAATAAAAAATTATAATTAAGAAAACGTTTTTTATAAGAAAATTTTATATTAATCTTCATGGGTAAAACATTAATTATATAATTATCTGAAAAGTGAGAAGAAATAAATAAATTTTTTACATAACATGGTAACAATTCGACAGATCGACGTTACGACCCGAGGGTTAAGTAGATACGATGGAATTCCAGGGATAACTCAAAAACTGAAAATCGATAGTTGGTGACTAACGCAGTATTTCGAACGCGTATAAATAAACTCACACTTAAACATATTTTTGAAATAAAAAATTATATTGTAAAGAGATTTTATCTTTTCAAAGCATATAAGACTTCCTGTTTGCAGATTGTATTTGTAAATTTTTTAAAAATGATATTTTTCTCTTTTAATAATGTTATTTTAATCATTATTTTTACAAGAAATTTTACTCTTGTATTTACATAAGTTTAATTATTATTGTGAAAATTCTTTAATTTTAGAACATTTACAACATAGCCAATGGCTTGACTTTCAATTGAAATAGAGTATAAATTAAAATCTACCTGAATACATGTAGAACACAAAAAGCAATTCGTCAAGAGTCCTAACTGCCTAACTTCGAATTTAAAATACAAAGGAGGCAGGTAGCTGAACATCCGCCCCATTTCTCCTATACAATAAAAAGGATTTGATTGCATTCTGTTCCCAGTGGCTCGCTCTGTTGGGAGCACGCATTTCTTTGGAAAGAAAGTGTAAAGTTCAAGAATATTATTTATTTTCTAGTGATCCGCGTTAAAGGTCTCCTCATACTAGCTACGTTGTTTCTCTTGTGAGAAATATTTTTCAGTAAGATCTATGCAGCAGAGTGATATACACGAGAGAAAAGCGCTACATTTTCAGCCAGTAAGTATATATAATAATTCTGCATTAATTCGATGCATTTGTATTTATATGAATATTTTAGACACGTGTCAATTTTTTCTGTTTCTTACAAGAAGCGCGTCATATGGAATCGTATTGTCTGTACATAAAAAATAATTTTATTCTTAAACATTACAGGGAACATTTTTATAATGCAAGCATATTTAACATCATTATAATGTATCCATGTTTAAATCACGTGAATATATCTGTATGTAAACATGTTGTTCGTCTAGTGTGAATAAACCTTTATTCTCATCGCATTATCAGGCAGCGTGTTAGCAGACGATAAACAGTCCAAACAGTTAAGTTAGTTATAAAGAGAAACCGTGGGGCCTTCGTCTCAGTTTAACTCAAACTTCCTTCGGGCGAGCTACGTTCGTTAGACAAACAATCATTTCGCATGCTTGGAAGTAGACATACTGCATGCGTATCATGAGAAAATACGTCGCAAATCTCTTCAAACTACGTACAAATCTAAAGGATACCTCTTAGACGTTTAATATTAGCACTGTATCATCGATAAACAGAGTAAGTCGTAATATAAATTATATTGTGCGTTGTATTCTCAAACACGTGGTCTGTTAAATTTACTAACTGTTAGGTAAAAGTTAAGTTTCTATTATTTATACCGTACATTTACTACCTCCTAAGTAATTTAAAAATTTTTGTAATAAAATTGTTATAAACAAATTTAAACATTTATGCAAAAAAATTTTTAAACTACGTTTGAAAAACAGATTTGTTAACGAACATGTCACAGATATTATTTATAAAATTATTATTTATAAACTTCGAGAAAAGCAATATATATACATATATATATAGGTTAATGTAAATTTCTACTAACAAAATAATTACCAGAGAGAGAGAGAGAGAGAGAGGAGAATTAAAAATGTTATAAATTACGTGCCAAAAGTATCATATAAATTATGAGTCAAAATTAAATATCAAATAAATATTAAGAGTCAAATTTTAAATATTAAATAACTATAATACAGTAAAATTCTTAATTTAATATTTTAATACACAAAAGCATAATTATATATTTCTAATTATTTATCGTAGGAATTATACAAAATAAATATTTTATAAAATCTTTAATTTATAAAATTATATTGTACAATTATTTACTTATTAAACAAGAAGCAATCGTAATTTAAGTCTGAGATATTTTATATAACAATAAAAATAAGTTTTATGTCAATATTTCGTTATGTTATTTTTGCTATTTCAAGAATATTTTTTAAATGTTACATATGTGACCAAATGTTATTGCAGAAATATATAAAAGAAAGAAAGTAGTTATTTAATAATAATGTGGTTTAATAATAATTGTTGTTGCCTAATTTTAAATTAATTAGTAAAATCAATAAAATTATATAAAATATAATTCTTAAAAATTGGAGTATTGGAGTATTTTTTCCGCATATTATTAATTTCAATAATTTGTCTCGTGAATATATGCTTGTTAGTTTGTACTTATGTCAAATTAAATTTAAAAATTAATTAAATATAATCCTATGAATATAAACATCATAAATATATCATTACAAAACTTATGATATGGTTTTACGTAACAATCTCAAAATGTAAAATAAGTATTACTCATGTATATAGAAGAGAGAGATTATATTTATCAAGAATTATTTTCATGAAATTTTTCGTTTTAGTTGCTTCAACAATTTATTCACTCTTGTACATATACTTATTAATATTTTATATTATATATTTGCCAAAAATTAAGAATTAAATAATTTAAATAAATTAGATTACAATGTAATGTAGAAGAAATGTTTTATTATTGTAATCAAATTTATATATATATATATATATATACATTAAATCATACATCGCTGTATTAGTTTTAAACAGCTCTATAACTTTCAATATATTGAAAGTTATAGAGCTGTTTAAAAATAATACAACGATGTATGATTTAATATATAATAAATATTTTACGTATTATATGAGTTTTATAGGCTTGAAATATCGCGGGTAATATGACGTTTCCGGAATCTATATGCGCTTTATCTTTATGTACATTTGATGTTTGTATTAACTTAATTCTCACGTTTTGGATTTTTTCATGCAGAGCATATTTGTGGGCAAATAATCAAACAAATTACGCCAATATGAATGTTTTGAAATCGGACTGGTTCAGCGAAATAAGCGATCTTTGGCCTGGTGTTGCACTTTCATTGAAGGTAGAAGAAATTCTGCATTCCGAGCGTTCTCAGTTTCAAGAAATTCTGGTAGTAAAAACGTGAGTAAATTTCTTTCCTTTTGGTAGCGTGAAATAATTCTTAAACTGGACTTTCAATATAAAATAAAACTCGTTAAATAAATATGTTGCATTTACAGACAATCACATGGGAGGGCTTTGATGCTCGACGGCGCGATACAATGTACAGAGAAAGATGAATTCTCCTATCACGAGATGATATCATATTTGCCACTCTGCAGTCATCCTAAGCCTAAAGACGTTAGTTGACACGTATTCATTTTTTTAGTTAGCTATACACATACACGAACGAGGAGAAAATGTTGCATTAATTTTACACTCAAAAGCATTATCTAGATGATAATAGTAATGCATGATAAGAAGTAATACATATGTACATAAGATAATGCTGTTTTTTTGCAGCTCGTATGTAATTAATCTTGAACTTGCCATATTACATTTTAGACTTACAACTATTTATTTAGAATTTATATTGCGTTTGTTTATACACAGAAGTAATATTAGACAATCAATAACCTTTTATTGTTAATTATTAATTCTCACGTATTATTATTATTAATATTAATTAATAATTAATCCATTATTTAAGTGCAATTAATGAATAGCGGAGTTACATAAATTATTTTTCGTTTTTAATAAAGATAAAATAGAAATAAAATTCAGATAAAAATTCCTTCTGTGCCTTATAAAATTGATTATATAAATGATTACATATTAACTCAACTATTATACAATTGTATATTACATATTATTTATTATTAATATTTTAACTGTATGTAATAAGAAATGTCATATATATATAATTGATATCTTTAGGCAAATAAATAATTTTCAATTTCTCTGTTACATTATAGATTTTGATAGTCGGAGGTGGCGATGGTGGAGCTGCTCGAGAAGTCGCGAAACATCCGGATGTGGAACGTATTACACTAGTGGACATCGACAACCGAGTTATCGAAGTGTGCAAACAATACTTGCCTCGTTTGAGTCTGGGTCTTAATAATCCTAAAGTAACCGTTTCTGTTGGCGACGGTTTCGAATTTCTAAGAAATCATTGTGGACAATTCGATGTCATTATCACTGACAGTAGCGATCCCGTAGGCAAGTGATCTCATAATTCTCGTGTCTCTCTAATATTTTACGATGGAAAGAAGTGCATGATTTCTTAAAGAAAAAATTGCACATTATAAATAACAGTGTTACAAACAAATTTTTAACATTTTATTTAGGTCCCGCCGAGCATCTTTTCAAACAACCGTACTATGAATTATTAAAGGCTGCATTGAAACCTGATGGAATTATTGCCAGCCAGGCTGGCACGGTATGGGAGAGCATGCAACAAGTACAAAGTACATTCCAGCATTGTAAAACCGTGTTTCCGGTCGCCTCCTACGCAGTAACAGCTGTACCGACATATCCCACAGGTCAAATCGGTTTTGTCCTTGGGAGCTTAGACAGCGTTAGTATTAAATACAGTATAACATATGACAATAAGTGAAAAAATTTTATTTTTTCTATTTTTCTATAAGGAAAAAAAAATTTAATTGTGAAAGTGATTAATGAGGAAGAAAGAGGAGTAAGGAGAGAAAATTTGATGCAATTTTTGCAACATCTGGAAGTTCACATGGTTTTTAACATAAATTTATAATAATTTTATAAATGTTTACGACTATAAGATCGATTATAAATGAGCCTTGATCATTCGAGTAAAATAATAATTATAAAAATTATACAAATATAATAAAATTATTATGTTTCATTAAATATCTAGAAGACTTAGATGATCGGTAAAAAATTTTTAGTACATTCGTATTTTTTATCTATATGCTTAAATTAAAGATTTTACCATTTATAAATACATTTCTTTCATTAGTAACTTCACAAATTTCTTTTTATATCTTATGTTACATCAATTTTTATATTAATACAAAAATAGATTTACCATTGATTAAAAAAAATAGATTTAATAAATTTTTAATTGTTCTTTTTTTCAGCAAAAAATTTTGCAGAACCGATAAGGATATTCAACGATGAAGATCTCGATCGAATGGAAATAAAATATTATAATGATAAGGTACATCGGACTTCTTTTGTTTTACCAAGATTTGTGGAAAAGAGTTTACAAATTGCTCAACGTACTAACTAAGTACTTAGTAATATTTACTTTAAATATTTAATTTCAATTTTCAACAACAGAGCTTAAAAAAATTTAATTTTTATAATTTTAGATTGTAAGTAATGCTTCCTATTTTTTGTAATTTCTATTATGAAAAAAAAAAATAATAATAAAAACATAATTACATATATTTATGTACAATATATTATATGATATGAATTGCATATGCAATAACCCAAACTAATTATACTGAATAGATATAAATAAAATCTTTTATGCATGTATACGTTGATTAATTTCTTTATAAATAACCTCACATAAGTACATTTTCATGTTTTATACATACATACATATATATATATATATATATATATATATATATATATACAAAATTTTATTTTTTATATTAGTATACAAAATTATATTTTCCATATTTAGGGAATTATTAGCGCTCTTTAAATTATTTCTGAACCTACTTTGTTATTGAGACAACAGTTTATCTAAAGTCGGTGGTTTTTAATATATAGCTCATCGATGTATGATATTATTTTATATTTTACCAGCAATAGATAAAATCAATTTAAATTCGAATAGCTTTTGTATAAAAAGAAGTGGTTATTATAATAAAATAATTCAGAATTTTGCAATATAGTAAATGAAGTAGAATTTAATAAGCTTTATAATGTAATTTATGTACTTTGACTTTTAATATATTACTTTATGGTATATGATACATCAAAATAGTTCTGCACAACCGATTACTGCTAACATGTCGACAGATGTAAAACCTCAGAAAATAGGATTCAATATTGCAGCGTAACAGAAATAATATAAAATTATCAAATATGTGTGTATTTCTTTACAGAATTTATGAATATAAAATATTTTAAATTATTGAGTATTTTTAAGATTCAGTAAAATAAAAAAAAACTATTCTTATTCATATACAAAAACAACACAGAAAATACATTTTCTAGCATTTAATAGTCGAAATATTTATGTATATATTAATGATAAAGCATTTAATAAAAAAATGTATTATCTATTATTAGTTGTATTAGAAGAATCAAGAGATTTTATCATTTTTCTCTTCTTTTTACAAAATATTGCTTTGAATAATTTTAGTATATTCCAATTTTTGTTTTAAATTTGAAATACAATTTACAATTAGCTTTTACTTTTTTAAATTTTAGATTAAAATTTTCGAAAACTTTATTTGAGGTCTAAAAATAAACAGAAATGATTAAAGTTTAATTATTTCGGATTAATACAGGAGAAAATAAAGTTGGAATGAATAACTTTATCCTTGAATTGTCACGGCTATCCGTTTCTTCGAAATGAAATAAAATAAAATTAAGGAGTATAAAAAGGCTTGTAAAAGCTGTGTAAATGGCAATTAAGTTTACTAAGAATCGACGCATATAATAAGAAATTATAAGATACAAGCAAAAAATTAAATAAAACATGGATAATCGCATATATGGAAATTAACAATTACCATAAAATAAATTAAATAAATAGACTCATAGCGGAAAGTTAGAACGAAGTCAGAACGGACGTTTCGACTTGATTTTTCAAATCGTCTTCAGCGCAAAATATAAATAATTACAAAAAAAATCAACTAAAACTCCGTATCAAAACTAATAACCTACAGGAGTCATAATGTGTACAAAAATATTTTACAATAACCAGATGTTAAATACGTTAGCAATAGACAGTCAATTATGTTTAAAAAGAAGTTATAAGTAAATAATTATTCAAAAACTAAACGAAAAAGTAAACCGCAAGCGTTGTGGGAGTCGTGAAGGTATCTGCTCTGTGCGTCATCTCATGAATACTTATTTCACCTCTAATTAACTGATTGGGATGAAATAAAATAAAATCAACCTGTATTAATGTGAATAATCTAAATTATTACTTTGTACACGATTCCATTAATTACATCAATTGCTGGTTGCAAGTCGAGAATAAATAACGACGGCGGCGCAAAGACTCTCCAGCTGCAGAAACGATGACGGTGCAATCGTGGAGATTTTCTCGCGATCTCATTAATTCTCGGTTCTCTATCGGATCTTACAATTTCGACAAACGCGCGGAGAACGACGACGCATTTTCCCATTATCAGGAGCGTCCGCGGAATCGCACGATAATCAGCATATTCATGAATTAGCTCGCGCGCGCGAGGTGGCTCGACTGGACATAGCAGCAGAGCTATTTCAAAGTAAAATGAGGCGAGAGAAGCGAGATACATTCGGAGTCCTCTCTCTCTCTCTCCCGAAGAGAGGGAAACCCTCTGTAAACATCCGATTTGCGGATTTTATTACGCGAGAAGGGCCGCGCGATTGCGAATTTCGCAATTCCGAGATCCGATGCTCGCGATATCCGAGCAGAAAGAGCGTCCCTTTAATCCGGCGCAATCTTCCCTTCTCGGTTAAAGCTGTGAGATTGAAAGAATATTTAGCGCTTCCTCCTACGAGGTGCATCCTCTCGCTGATGCACTCCCTGGAGCGCATTCACTCCCTCGCATACGTCACACGCCGGTGAGATTAAAGAAGCCGTATACCAGGTGTTCATCGACGACTCGGTCGGAATGATTATACCAGGTGTAGGCGCAGGTATTATACGCGTCATCCATATCGAGTTGCTGGCTTTTTCTTTTTCTCCCATTCTCTTTCGCTTTTCAGAAAATTGTATTCGCGAGAAAATGAAATATTGCTCGCGCATTTGATGTACATATATATATATATATATATATATATATATATATATCTACGCGTGTATATATATATGTATATGCAACGCTTGCGTCACAGCTTCGCAGCTCTCCCGAGTTATTCAGGACCCCGGTACACTTCGGCGAACGCGATCGATTTTTTGGACATCCGACGCTTTCGATTCGCACAGAATACCCGACGCAGTAGAATGTCAGAATATAGGTCAGACGCCTATATCGTTAGCGATATGGATTACAAAAGAATGCATAACTCTCACTGTTGTTTACATGTCTGTCAAACGTGACAAGTTTTTTTTTCCAAACTGATTGGAATTACCTTATCGCATTCAGATTGTCCGTAAAATCGGCGATTGACTTATAGCAAAAATTTTTTAAATAGAAAAAATAGATGTGCGATACACGATATTTACAAACGGTTCTTTCTTCTTAATCATTGAAACTACGCAAACTGATTGATTATTTATATGTAATTTGATACTTTTGTTATACAAATCGCAAAACATATTCCCTTTGTCAGTTTACTTGTGTCGGCTTTTTTTGAAATTTCTTAGTGATGCTGATGAAAATACGACGTATATACGCAACAGGCAGCGAGCAATACTAATATTCCGTTTTATTCGACAAATGATATGACACAAACGGCATCATAAAGTAACAAAGTTATCATATTCTGGACCCAAGCCACTCGGCACGTGTGTTTGAAAATGGATGTTGCGTGCCAATATTACTAACACTGGCTGATCATTATATGCAGATTGTACGTGTTATGCGTGTTTTGCATTCATCTGCAAAATTTGATTATGCCAATGCAAGTATCGGCCATTAGGACGGAATGAAATGTGCGGTCGCGCTTGTTTTTGACATGACACACGCAATCACGCAAATACTTTAATACATATTAACAAGAAATATTTTTTTTATCAATTTCTATTTCTATATCATTCCCAAAAAAGAAAAATTGCCGTTTATTAATTTTCCGGTTTATATTGTGCGAATTTTTTAAAATAAAATCAGTCTACATCGTAAATAAATGTATATAAGGATACCTGTAATGATATGACGTATCTATCAGATTGAATCAAAATCCAACTAATTATACAATTTATCAAAGCAAGTTTAATTATAGCGACTTCGCGTACACTGGTTACTTCAGAGAAGCTTATGGATCGTTAACTGCGTTTAATCTCCCCAAACGATTCCTCCTCGATGTTCCCAAACTGCATCTCGCAAGCCGCAATGGTCTGACCGTCTGTCTGTCTATATGGCATTGCTACTTATTGGTTAACGTAGAGCGAAGCAGCGGACCACTCGCTCTCGTGGGATCCATAAATTATTGTTCCCACGAAAGTTAAAAAGTCTGTTCATAAATCGTGTTGTGCATCAGTGTTGTTTAACCACCAATATTTTCTGCTAAATCTCTGCTTTATTTCTTCAGGGACCTTTGCAAACTTTTTTATAATTTTAGACATTTCACTTTGACATCTTATCCATTACAATATTTAATAACTAATATATCATAATTTATGAAAAATATCTCGATAATAAATTTTAATCGTATCGTAACATTAATTAGTAATATAAAAAAGATATAACGGAAGAGTAAGGACAAATAAATACATTGCATAAATACAAAAATATTTATCGGAAACTTTTTAAACAAAAAATACAAAAAATTTACATGTCATTGCATCACAGACAAAATGTATAAGTATTAAAATTATAGTTTCTTTTTTTTCTTGTCGTTGCATATTGTCTGTATCAGTGAGACGGAGCAGAAGAACGATACTATGGCTCAGATATTTTCAAAAAGTACACATCTACGGACAATTTGTAAGTTTAGGGACACGATCGAAGGTTATGAAGTGATTTTCGAACGAGTTCTGGGAAAAGTCTGGAATTCTGGCGAAGAAAGTAACTTTCCTATCTACCTTATAAGTTCTATTACAGCGCCGCGAGGCTATATCGTCCCCTGTAACTTTTCAGATCGCACAATACGCGTCGAGGTTGCAGCCGAATTTATTCGTCGGAATATTTTCTACCTTGCGAGAAACTTTATCCCGTAATCCGTGATTGACCACAATATATTGGTGAGGATTGAAAATGACAATGAATTATATTGTTAAGTAATAGTTTTTTAAATTAATTATAAGATTTCGGACCTGATACAAATAATGATATGAATATAATATTGTAGTAAAAAAAGTAATTTTGGTAGATTATAAAATTGTTACATATTTTTGTTTTAATTAAATAATTTATGCGTTAAACTTTCTTAATTTCCTAGATTGATTGTATTGGATGTGACAACTATGACATTTCTCAAGAACATTTTTGAAATAAATTAT